GAAGTCAGTTATAATGTTCTTTGATCATGTAAATGCTCTTTGCTCGTTTTCTGTAGCTGCTGTTTGAATAACTGAGGAAATGTAAACATTAGTAACTAGTAATTAGTAACTTGCAATGTTTTTATTAAATTGTTATCATGTTAAATACAAATTCAGTCATATTAAAAATATTTTAAGACATGACATCTATATGCTAATTGACTAAAAAGATATAATGTGTAGTCAATAGATTACACTAACATTAGGCTGCTTTTCGCCTTACCCTGGAGTTGGTTCGCTCTCCGGTTATAAAACTAAGAAAGTGAATAATTAAATAAATAGCATAATAATATCGTGTATCGTGATATATTTTTTCACTAACGATATGGTATGTAGAAATAGTTTGATACTCGCGCATCTGAAAAATAGCGGAGGACACGGAGTGAGCTGCTGCGTGGAAAGTGCATAAAACAAATAGTTCTAAACATGAGACATGCTTTATATTAATTAAGGGCTTTAAAAATAACTCGTATAAGATATAGTTAACACATATAGATTAAAGCGGCTTGCCCCGTCAGATGCTCTGACATATAACTTACGGGCTGCTGACAGATGCTGTTTAATGCGTTTGAGATGTGCTGTTTTCCTCAGTGCATAACTTACATTTCACAGGTATATTCTCCATCTGTAAATGTTAGAAAGTCATGGAAATATTTCCATTTTCCTGTCAGGAGTGGATGAGCCTCCTGCATGCGATTCTCTGCTAAACTACTAGACTTTAGTGAACGAGTGCGGCCGCCAAACAGAATGAGCGCAATGAAATAAGATTGCAATAATTTTGAGTAAAATATACATTTTGCTAAAATATTTATTGTTGGACAATTAATGTGCCATATGTAGAATTTTAAACCTACAGGTAATTGTATTCTATTTTATATTGTATTGTATTTTTTTCTTTAGTTTAGTGAATTTAACTTCTGCCTTAAGATGCATTATATTCGTAAGAAGCATTATATTATATTTATTTGTAATGTTGCAATGTTAACGTAATGTGATTTTAACCCTTTTTATGCATATTGGCTATTACTGTATATAGCATAGCCTATGGTTGCATTCACTATATTTCTTTTAATAGCTTTTAATATGAACATTGTTTCATTGTACAACATTGGGCAGGATTTAGAATAACATTTTTTTAAATGAATACAGATTTTTTTTCACCCAAATAGCAAAATGTAGAAAATACAGAGATATATATCATATGTCACAATTTAACTAAAAAATACAGAGATATGATTTTTTGGCCATATCGCCCAGCCCTATCTCACATTCTGACGATAGGACGATATGACTATGGAGCATATCGCCCAACACTAAGGCTCACTAAACTCAAAATAATTGAACAATTTATTTGACTTAGTTTATTTCTCCTATAGCAAATAAATGTATGCAGGAATTTTTTGCATTGTGAATGCAGAACTTGCAATATTAATATTTTTATTATTAGTAGTGCCATACCTGAAATCCTACAGCACAGATCAGGCTCTTAATTTTCATGGTTTTAAACCCAGGGCAGCCAAGGGCTTGCTAGGAGAGTGTTATAGTTTAATACACTCACACGTTCAGTGCACTTACTAATATATGTCCCTGTGCGGACTCGGTTGTGAGTCTGTGTGTGCTTGCTTGGTTGATTTCCCACTTGCACAACTGCAACTTGCACTTGCACAACAATTAACAACACGAACACAACACTGGCCTGAATCTCTCTTACACTGACCTTAGAGTCAAACCCTGCCTTAATGTCACTAACACATTAAGATTCCCCAAAACACTTCATCCTGGATGAAATGAGACACATGGCTTTGAGCTGTGCATGCACACCTGCAGCGTTTGGGTTTGGAGCTTAATAGCATGAAGGCAGCGGTTATCAGAGCTGCTGCACATGATTCATGAAATTACTGGCCATATGACTCATGGACCGTCAGAGACTCTGTTGGACAAACAACCACACTGACTCACTAACACAGTAACTGACTCATCTAACTCACTGAAACCTATATCATCTAAGTATCAGCATAACTGACTACTAACTTGAGACATTCACAAATATATCAGAGCAGTGACTGAATGACAGTGAGTGATATAATGACTGAAGGAACTGTGAATCATTTCAAATGAATCATTCTGGAGTCCTGTATACGCTCATTAAGAAGCATAAACATATGAGTTGTGTCCTAAATGACATACTATACACCAGGGGTGGGCAAACTTGGCCCTTCCAGGCCACTTTCCTTCAGAGTTTAGCTCCAACCATAATCAAACACACCTGAACCAGCTAATCATTGTCTTCAAGACTACTAGAAGGCTACAGGCAGGTGAGTTTTATCAGGGTTGGATCAAATCTCTGCAGGAAAGTGGCCTGGAAGGGCCAAGTTTTCCCATCACTGTTATACACAGTGCATATACTATGTACTCAACTGCAGGTTTATGAGTTTTTATAAATGTGACCCTGGACCACAAAACCAGTCATAAGGGTCAATTTTTTCGAAATTGAGATTTATGCATCATCTGAAAGCTGAATAAATAAGCTTTCCATTGATGTATGGTTTGTTAGGATAGGACAATATTTGGCCGAGATATAACTATTTGAAAATCTGGAATCTGAGGGTGCAAAAAAATCTAAATATTGAGAAAATCACCTTTAAAGTTGTCCAGATGAAGTTCTTAGCAATGCATATTACTAATCAAAAATTAAGTTTTAATATATTTACATTAGGAAAATTACTAATTTTTTACCAACAAAAAAAATGTTTTTAAGTCAGTTATTTCTATCTTTTTCTGTAGTGTGTCAGTGTGTGCAAACCTCTGAAAGATGCATTGAGATTGCATTGCTCCACCTTTTACTATTCCGAGCAAACAGTCCTTTGTCTAAATATAGACGTGATCTCAGACATAACAATCAGGCTTTTGCCATTTTTTTATATTCTTGCTGTGGCCAGTTATGTACTTGGCCCAGTTTACACTGGTTTGATTTTGAAAACATAATGCTTGGGTGTTTTTCTTTTTTTTTTTTGAGATCCCTTTGAGGTGAACATTGGAATGCTGAATGACTAATTCTGTTCAATATGGATGCCAAGTGTATGTACTGTATTACTCACTGTGCATGTCTACAGATTGGTCTGGCTAGTTCCTATATCCAGTTCTGGCCGTTGCTCAGGCAACCGCCAACATTTCACTTACAGTGCCCATTGCACATACAACATCACATGAAAGATCTGCAGTCTCTTTCCTAACTACAGGACAACATGATTGTGTTACTGCAGTGGATGGACTTGTCCTGCCTGTCTTCTGCTGTGTGACGTTTGAGCTATATTCAAGTCTGGCATGATGTTGTGGAGGTTTGTGCAATGGATGAATTTCAGACAGCCTTCAAATCAAGCCTCTGTAACTGATTTCCCACCAAATTGTGCTTGTAACACTGTTTATAGCAGGAGAATCGTCATGTGAGGTTTGACCTTCCGTTATGTTTTGCATCGACTCGGTCCATACCCAGACCCCTGGTCTCTCTCTTCTGGTCTTTGGGCAGTGAAAGGATACAGTTGGTTAAGTCTCCTCAACACAGACAAGTGCAGTGCACCTGTTGACGCAAGATCGTGGATGCCAGAGTATTGTAAACAAAGCTGTGGTGTCAGTCAGATGGGCTCTGCTGTGAATGGAAACCACTAGTGGGACATTTTTTTTTGTATTACAGGAACAGGAAGTGTACGGCAACCAACAAATGGCTTACTTATATGATATGTGTATTAAACTTACACTATCATTCAGTTTGGGTCAGTTAGATTTTTTACATTTTTTGAAAGAAGCCTTTTATGCTCAACATGGCTGCATTTATTGGATGAAAAATACAGTAAAACTGTAATATTGTGAAATATGATTATAATTTAATATTTAATATTCAACTTAAATAGCTGTGTTATATTTTATTAGATTATAAAATATAATTTGATATATTTATGATGGCAAAGCTGAATTTTCAGCATCATTACTCCAGTCTTCAGTGTCACATGATCCTTCAGAAATCATTCTAATATGTTGATTTGGTGCTCGAGAAACATTTCTTATTTTTATCAATGTTGAAAACAGTTGTGCCATGTTATAAATAGTTATGTTAATGTTTTTTGTGGAAACCGTGATACATTTTTTATTTGTTCAAAATGCTTTAATTAATAGAAAATTCAAAAGAACACCATTTATTTGAAATGGAAATCTTTTGTAAAACCTTCATGTATTCCTGCTGAATAAAAGTGTTAATTTCTTTAAAACATCTTACAGACCCCAAGCTTTTGAATAGTAGTGTAGATTATATTATTGAGAGAGGACATAAATGTAAATGTTAATTTATATTTATATTTATAACACATATCTCTGCATTTTAATATTTTGGAAAATTACAGCAAAAATCAATCGTTTTAATTTGAAAACAAAGTTGTATGTTTTCATCTTGCGCATTGCTATTTGGAAATATTGTAAAATAAATTGTTCTGAGCTTGGTTGAATTTTTTAGGTAGGTAATTTCAGCATGTAGTTGAATTAACCATAAAAAACAGCTTTTAGAAGCAATGTTACAGACACACACACACACACACAAAAAAGTATATAATTTTTCATTAATATTTGACATCTGTGCCTCCCCACTGTTAAAAAGCACATTAAACTGACATAGAAGAATTTTATCATTGAAAACATGGCACACTTCATCTTTAAAGAGTCAGTACAGACTGTCCTGTAATGTATGCATTCATACACTGTACTCTGCTTTTCTCTGGCCTCTGAC